AGCTGTTCCAAAGGCAATCTTTGGCTGGGAAAATCTACTGGCGTCTGGAAAAACGGGTTCAATGAAGCTGTACAGGTATGGATTGAAACCATCTAATGGGGGCAGCACCTCTGCTATCATTTCTTCTATAAAACACATTGTACAAGAGTATCTAGGAAAGGCTCAAGAGGCTCTAGAGCACTTAAAAGAAATTATTAAACGAATTCTATTTGCTTTGGAAGGATTTTAATCGGCGAAACGCCCGGAGCTGGGAGGAGGATCCCAGGGGGTCCCCACAGGGTGAGAACCCCCTTAAAAAAAAAAAAAAAAAGACCTCACGGGGCTTGAAGGAACTGGAGCGGGTGGCCAAGCCAAGAGCCCGGGGTCAGTGCCAAGCACCAGCTCCCTCCTCCCAGTCGGCCACGGTCAGATGATGTGCGAGGCGAGCCGGGAGGCTCCTAGTCTGGCAGGCAGCCTGCTCTGCTCCAGAGGCTCCAGTGCTGTCATCCTGGCATTAACCCCTGATAACCTTGTCCTTTCCAGGACGGGACTGTGGTTTTTAGGTAAGCAAGGAGCAAGGGGATCATGTCTCCCAGTGAGGCTGGGAAGGAAAGGGTGCAACGCCCTGCGACGCTCAAAGCAAATTGAAAAATATTAAAACGACGTAAGCTCAAAAATAAACCAAAAATAAGTGACTTAAAGAAAAAAAAATTCCCAAGCAATTGTTTATCCCTGGGACAAATATACAATCCTAGTTCCACAGGAAGATGTCTCAATTTCAGATTATAATAGGATGCCAATTTGTAAATAAAGGCATTTCACAGGAGGTTATAAACTCCGTAGGGGAGGGAGGTGGAAGTAGGGGGAACGGGAAAACACAGGCAGGGCTCTGGCGGAGAAACAGCACAGGATCCTGTTTACATGGGCAAGGGGAGAGCAACGGGAAGCCTCTTTGGGGGGCAAATATCTCCGGATTTGGACAAGGTGCTTCTTCCCCGTTGAGCAGATACCAGCAGGGATCAGAGGCATAGTGAAACATTCCCGGCCTGTCCGCAATTTTGGAATGAAATGTCAATCATCCAAGAGGTCCCTTAAACCAGACAAGGTCCCACAGCACAGGGAGTCAGAGTAGGGAATGATGCCAATGCTCTTCCAGCCTGGGTAAGTCTTTTCCCTGCGTTTTTGGTGTGGAGCTGGGAGGGAGAAACTGAGTCTGTGCCTGCTACAGAAGAGCCTTGTTGGTTTCCCAGACTCAAGGCTTGCAGAACTTCACCCAGCACCCACCAAGCACCATCACTTAACATCCACTGGCTCTTGGAAACCCTGAGGTGCTTCCAGAGTTTGGGCAAATCAGCAGAATTGGGCCAAAATCCAGATAACCTCTCAGGTTTGGTATTTTAGGAACAACCTCAGTGTGGATGTGGCGAGGACACAAGCCAGCTCAACTTGCTCTCCCTCTCTGAGGACAAGCTCTGGACTTCTTGAGAGCTTTACTTTGCCAGCAGATCCAGCACTGTTCACCCGTCCTGCTGGAGGGCCACCTCCTTACCCACCCGGGGCACCACAACCTTCCACCAGCCGAGAGCCACCAGCCCCACGCCACACATGGGTCAGGACACAGATGTCCAGGGCTGATGGATCACATTCCATGGAGACCCAGCACCAACACCACCAGCTCACGTCTACCCTTGGAGCAGGTCTTCTCCATGGGTCATACAGGAATTTGCTTCCCACCAATCTGATGCCATCAAACCATGCGCCAGACACCTTCAGGCACTCCAAGCGTGGCTTTGCTTGTTTGAAAGAAGTCACAACCAAACACATCTGCTGAGAACAAGTCAGCTCAAAACACAGGAAAACCACCCTCTGTCTCCTACTTACGAGAATTATTTTTATCCCCAATGGGATATTTTTGCTCTTTAACCACACTGAGGACAGAAAGGATCTGGCTAGTAATACCTGAGCACAGCCATGTCAGTGGGAGCAACCGTGAGCGAGGAGTCCTGACCTACCCACAGGCTGACCACCGATAAAAATAAAGATGATATAAGAAAATAAATAAAGCCAAGAATACAGAAGCGAGAGCCAGTGCCTCAGGGGAAGCGAGGGGTACATCAGCCAGAGAAGGGGATGGCTGGGGAAGAGAGCAGAGGTGGGATGAGAAGGGGACACCAGCATGGTGTGAAGGACTACCCAGGATTGCATTCCTGGGTCATGAAGGAGAACAGAAAGAAGAAGGATGGAGGGAGGGAAAGAGCAGCTCAGAGCGGTTATCACAAGGGGGAAACACTCCCCGTACGTCCCCCCAGCCACACATCTCCAGAGCCTCTGGTATCCATCAGCACAACTGCCTGCAGCCCCAGCAAAGACAGACCCCAGCAGTGGCTGATCTGAGACTTCTCATCAAAGTCTCCTCACAAAGAGCTGCAAGAACACTTGCTTTGAGCCCCTTCAATGCTCCCCTTGCCACCATCCTCTCTTCATGCATTTCCCTGCCGGAGCGACCATGAACCCCAGGGTGGCCTCATTCCCAAATTTTTATTGCTGAGAGTGATCTTCCTTGACAAATCCTGCTCTGTAAGACATCAGAGCAGGTCTACTGATCCTGCTGCTACACCAGCATCCACCACACATCACTAATGACCAAAGGCTGCAGTGCTGCAGGATCCCAACATCAACAACAACCACCTGTGATGTACTTTTTCCTCACACACCCACTCCAGTTTCCAAATTAGCAAAATAACTACTTTCTTTTTTCCCCTTTTCTTAAGCCATCCTTTCACCAAGGAGCTGCAAATCCAACTCTGTACAGGTCTGGAGGGGAGGAGGGATGCTGGATTCTCCAGCCAGCATCACCCATCCCTATCTGCCCAAACACAGATAAGACCAAGCCAAAGCGCTGGCCATGTACCCTGCCAATAACTCATTAAAGCCCTCTTCAAACACACTCTTCTGCTAACTAAAATATGCAGGAGGGGGTAGGAAAAAAAAAGAGGAGAAAGTGAGCTTTGGAGGATTGCTCCAAAGTGCGTTTATTTTCCTTTCTTGACTGGGTCTCTCCAGTTGGGAATTTTCAGCACTGCACTTCTGCGCGCGGAAGGGAGATGCCAGTAAATCAGAGCAAATTCAAAACAAATGCTCTTTCATGTGGAGGCATTCGGCTTTGTTTCAGGGCTTGGGTAGCTAACCATATCCCTTCAAGAGTCAACTCTCCTATCAGCTCCTCATTAAACTAAATGGCTACAATTACATTTGGGGAGGAAAAAAGAGTGGTTAATGATCGTAAAAAGGTTCTGTTTCCAGGCTTGGGGAGGGGGGGAACCTTTGATAAGGGAGACAAAAAAAAAAAATCAAATCCAATGAAATAATAGCAATAGAATAAAGTAAGTTTAAAATGTACTTTCACGTGGAAATGTGCTTTCATTTGGGGAAGAAGCTCAATTAAGGAGCTAGGGGGTCCCCTTCCCGCAGCCTTTTGGGAGGCACCAGGAACGAGCCATGTTATTTCCTGCAGCCTAAGCCCCCACCTCCTGCCTTCCCTTCGGGAGCAGAGCTGCCAGACGAGATGTTATCAATAGGCTGAACCTTACAGAAAGCCCCCTTTTAAAAGCGAGTACTTCCTCTGCTTATTTCATGTGGTATCCTGTGGAACTGAACTCTCTCCTCCCCTCTGCAACGGGTGTATTTCAGGAGGAAAAAGGAAAAAAAAAAAGATCTAACAACATCCTTATTGTGTTGTTTTGCTTCTTGTCTTTTTTCTTTCTACAGTCCCCCTTTTTTTTTTAATTCCCTGAAGCTATAGGCTCCAATGGCAAAAAAATTTTAAAAAATGCAAATCCTTCTGCCTTTAGAAAAAAAAAGCCCCAAACAGCAACAAGTTTTCCTGTTCCCTCTCCCTCTTCGTTTGATTAATTCTCATTAGGGCCTTTGAACAAACAATATGCTCCCCTCTCAAATAACAGACAGGGTATATATTACACCCAAAGAAAAACAAACAAGCCTCACTTAAAGACATCACATCCACACCAAACGCAATTCCTGGAGAGAGGCAGGGGCAGATGCACGCGCGCGTGCAGCCGCCGCCGACCTAATTCCGAATTCCAGTTTCAGGGTGATGAATAAATCATAAATCAAGGAGACATCCCCACAAAGGCAAGCACCTTCAAACATCAGCCACTACCTGCAGGTACATGGTTTCAGACACTTTAATCCTGGTAGAGACACTGAGGTGGCTGGTCTGGGGTGGAAGATGAGGTGCTGGCGACATCACACCTTGGAAATGGGGTTGGGAGTTGGACTAGATGACCTTCAAAGGTCCTCTCCAACCCAATCCACTCTTTGTCTCTACACAAACTCCAAGAGGAGTGGAGAAAGTCCCTTACAAGCCTCCATCCTGTAACAGCAACTGGAGGCTGAAGGAGATGGCAAATAGGAAAACAGTGGAAATCACTGAATCTATCAGGAAGGAGTAAAAGCATCACCAGCTCTCCCTACAGCATCCTCTACAAAAACACAGGCCACCTTTCCTCCCCAGGCACCAGGGATGCTGGTGACCTTACCGTGAGCAAAACCTGACCAGGGCTCAGAGCAGGGCTCATCCCAGAGACAAAAGGCCCTCACCACTGAGTCAAGGATATGACACCAAATCCTTCTTTAAGGTACAACTGCACCTGCACCCATAATCCACACACCTGAATGAATGGTCAACATTGCTTAGCCTTCCCCCGCCTCAGTCCTTTTGCCTCTTCCTGCCTTTGCCCAAAAACAAATGGAGCAAAAGGCTGGAATCCAAAGGAAGTACAGACACATTCAGGGATGGAGAACTTTGTCTGGGATTTCAACACATCCTCTGCACAACAGGTACATGGCTGCTACTGAAATTAAACCCAACTCCCGCTCTGATCACGCCCTTCTCAGTGATCTGCATTCCCAAAACTCCCCCAGCATCACTTCGCCTTTTGTCAACACCCTCAGCCAACACAACCCACGGCCAAGATCAAGGGCAGCAGGAGATGTCTTACCTGAGAGCCCCCCAGGGGCTAGACAATTAGTTCCCCCTGTTTCAGTGGAGGAAGGCACAGAGTCTGGACAATCTGCTGGAGCAGAGGAAGGAAAAAAAAAAACAAAAGTCAGTATATAGGTGGTTCTTTGCCAGCTCCCAGCATCGCCCCAAGCAGAACACACATTCCAAAGGGCTTAGCAGGAAGCGATTACTAATTGTCCGTGCAGAGACGGTAGTTCATCAAGAAGCATCCACCCTAACTCGTTGTCTCAGTCAAGGCTGCGCTTCATCACCAGCCAGTGCTGATTATAGACTGGCAAAAATTACAGGCTAGCTGCCACCTCTCTGGACAAGTCACCGGCTAAGGAGATCAAGGTTGTCGCCGTTCTGATGCAAGCGAGCTTCCAAAAATGCTTAAATCGTGGCTTTATGCACCCAATTTAGTCAAAACCTGTAAGTCACCAAAATGGGAACAGAAAGGGAAACATCTCATTGCCGCCCTTCTGCAGTGAACAGGTTGATTTTGTGGTGCCCTGCTCAAGTTTCGTCACCACCAGCAGCTGGCAGACCTTATTGCCACCTCCTGGGCAAGGGGACCCAGGCCTCTGTGCACCACCAAAGGGCAGGGTAAGACTGGCTTCTCCTTTAGAGGTTTCTCCTGATGCATGCAGGTGCTGGAGATCAAGATTTGAACCTCTCTATCCCAAGCCTGCTCTTCTAGGTGACAACAGTCAGAAGCCAACACCAATCTCCTGGTCCTACAGAACAACTCCAACTTTTGGTCACTACCATGTGGGACCACAAGCTGAAGAAAAAGCATGAGAAGACCTGTGAAGTTCATGTAGACTTCTGGTCCTGAGAGACTTTGTGTTTCACCAGATTTGGGCTCTCTATGCCCTCATTTTTTCCACATCTGTATCCCAAAGCAAGGACCACCACCAGAAGAGCCAAGAGGAGTTTTCTCCCTACTGATGAAGCACTTCTGCCAGATCCCACCCCTGAAATACCAGTGAATAAGAAATTCCTGTCTGCATAACCTCATTTTATCACAGTAAAGTAAAAGCCTTAACAGGAATATACAGTTTAACAGGATATACTTAATCAAACTGAAAACAATAGGGCAGACAGGAAATAGACTTACTTGTGAAATACTGTATATGATACGCTCTCTAAATGCCTTGTCGTGCTTTCTCTGCTTTAAAGAAATAGAGTTTTTACTTTTTTTAACTCTTTCTAGTCCAGACAGGCGATTTCCCCGCCATTCCCCTGTGATCACTTCAACTGCCTGAGCTACAGATTCTTTCTGAACACAGGCTGGGCCACTCTGCCCTGCCCTGGGCTCCCTGTGCCTGCAGCTACAGCACCCTGAGGAGTTCCCTGCAGATAAGGGCCATAATTGTCTTGCTGCAGAGATCATACATGACCAGGTTCTCTGTTACCACATCAGGCAGAACAGATTCCTATCCAGACTTCAAATACATAACCCTAGCAATGGGGCAATGTGCTATCACACTTCTTCCTCAGCTCCCTTCCCATGTCCCATCACCCAGAAGACAATTCCCCTCACCCATGAATCACCCCAGAATTCCCTTTCCAAAACTCAGGGCTGCTGCAGCTCAACTCTAGAGCTCTAGACCAACCAGAGAGTCAGGCGTGGGATGAGCCCAAGGGCAGAACCCTCTCGGGGTCCATGCCCTGTGCGTGGCTGGATTCATTGATGCCCTCGTCCTACCACCCACAGAGCTGCCCGGGGGGCTCTCATTAGTCAGGGGCACTGGGGCTCGTTTTACCTTCAGCAAGGTAAAGGTGGAGGATCAGACATCTGTCCAAGCCTGGCACACATCAGTCTCCTCCCAACACTGCCTTCCCACAGCACAAAACCATTGCGGAGACACACAATTATTCCTTGTGGCCACCAGCCCAACCTTGCAAGGTGTCAAATAGCTCCTGGGAGCTGCCAAACCTCCAGCTCCCCTGAAAGCTGACACCACAGGAGGGCATTCGGCCCCACAGCGACATCTCGGCGAGCTTCCTGCACTCTCATACACTAGCAGCACCAAGTCCAGTCACTCCAGAGCACAACGGAGCCACTTGTCCCACTTAAAGCTCAGTCAAAATTCTGCCCAAATTATTTGAGGGTGCTACTATCCGCTTCACATTCAGCACAGCTGGAAGCTCCAGCAGGGATATTAGGAATGCTGAGCACCCACACACCTCCATCATCCATCCCTGCCAACATCCTGTGTGAGGAAGAGGGAAAGTCCTCTCCTTGGTGAAAGTCCTCCCCATCCCTGGAGGTGTCCAAGACCAGGCTGGAGGTGGCTTGCAACAACCTGGTGTAGTGGAAGGTGTCCCTGTCCAAGGCAGGGGGTTGGAGCGAGATGAGTTTTAAGGTCATTCCAACCCAAACCTTTCTGGGATTCTATGAATGAGCAAGCCAGGCTGACCCACAGCCTTCCCTCAGGTAACTCAGCCATCAAGGGCACATCTTTCTGTTCTATGACAAGTACACAGTTACCAGATCTATCCTACCAACACAGCCTGATGTGGCATTTCATTGCCTGCAGCGGATTCCCAGCTCTTTGTCCAACCCTGCTTTCCTACACCCTGTACTGCAGCCTGCCTCAGCCTCTATCACCTCCAGAAAAACTGATTTAATCCCCATTGGTCAAGGTTTTAAACAAAAAGAGAAGAGAGATTTAGACAAGATTGAAGAGAGAAATGGTTAATGAAGGCAGTGGTGAGGCACTGGCACAGGTTGCCCAGAGAAATGGTAGATCACCCACCCCAGACACATTCAAGGTCAGGCTGGATGGAACTCAGAGCAAACTGGTCTAGTTGTTCCTGCTCATTGCAGGAGGGATGGACTAAATGGTCTTTAGGGTTCCTTCCAACACAATCCTTTTTTTGATTCTGTGATCTGGCAACCTCTGCCAGAGCCCACACCAGTCCAGGGTTATTATCTGCCTGTCTCTCCATATGAAGCACTTACAAGACATAGTGCTAAGCACTTAACTTTTACTACCACTATCATGCTTAATGGAAAAACAGAAGTTTCCTGCTGGATGCACATTCCCAGCTCCACTGGCAGAGCCTAAACACAGGGACTGCTCCCACCCAAGGCCCCAGCTGAGAAGGCGGCTGATGGGCACCAGCCAGGTAAAAAAATCTTCACACCTTCCCACAGTCCTCAACATGCAGCTGGGGAACAGCCACAGGAGATGGCACCGAGGCTGGGATGGGAAACCCTCAGTCCCCCAGCAGAGGAAATGCTGAGAAACCCTGAGCTTGCAAAACCCACCTGCCACCACAGACTTCCAGGCTCCGCTGGTGCCTGTCACAGCCCCATTAGTCAGAGCTCAGCTGCCAAGAGGATTTTTCTTTCAAAAGGGAAAAAAAGGAGGACTTTTTGGTGAGTAACCCAGTCGTTTCTGTGTTTCCGATGGGCAGCGTTAATCACTTCCTATTGGCCGATAGGAATAACTTTTCCTTTCGAAATGGCACATTCATGTTCTGCGGCTTTTCTGTTTACACACATTTTGCTACCTTATGTCAACACTTGCTAATGAATAAATATATCATTCGGCTAACTGAAAATGAGATCCTGGCAGAGGCAGATTGGATGTTTAAATCCTGCAAATAGATTTTATCCTAACATCTTTATAGGAAAGCAAAACCAAGCTTTAACCCTTGTCTCCTCCAGCTCCAAACCCCCTTTGCATCCCATGCCAGGATCATCAATGAGTGCAGAGAAAAGCCATAAAGGCAAAAAAAATAGGAACTTTTGGGGGAGAACTGCAGGGATGCAGCCACAATTATGCAAAACCCACAAAAAGAACCCAGCAGACCCTCAGAGTCTATTGCAGAACAACACTTCTGCATCCCAGCACATGCTGTGGATGCTGAACCTACTTCCGATGTCCCTCTTGCATTCACCAGCCCTTATCTCCTGGTTTTTTCACAAGTCAAGATAGTTCATGCTTTGCAACCCAATTGTTTGTTAAACAGCTTTCTTTATTTCCACAAGGCAAAAAAAGACTCCTTAGTGTTCCCAAAGAGTTTGCTGAGGGGGAAAACAACAGTCCAGCCTCTGGGGAGCAGTTGGCAGGATGAGACCCCACCACCACACCAGAGCAGCCTCAAGGCTGGGGTTTCTTTTAGCCCTGAGACCCTGCAGAGAGGTGATTTCACAGGCACTGTTCTTTTGGCCAAAAAACCCCAACCAAACACTCTGATGCTTTTCTTCAGAAATATCTGTGTATCTACCCTTGCCACCCTGCAGTGCCGTGCCTCCCCTGTCTGCCACGACCGCGGGACGCGACCGCAGAGACCACCGTGCTCCAGCCCACTCCAGAGCCACTAATCCTCAGGAAGCCAGGAGCTGCTCCTCCCGAGCTCCCCACGTTTCCGACTCTCCCCACCTCTCCTCCTTCTCCCAGCCTCATTTATCTCACACCCAGCGAGCTCGCTGCCAACCAAGAGTTTATGCAGACAACCGCAAAAGAGCTGGTGCCAGCCTCAAATGGGCTTCTCCCCTGGCACCCTGACATTCAATTACAAGCGACAGGCATGCACAGCAGTGCTAAGAAATTTAAATTTTAAAAAGGTTAAAAAAACAACATTTCAAACTCTTTTCCCGTTTTTTTTTTTTTTTTCCAAGATGATGTAGTATTAGGCTTCTATAAAACTTAGAGAGATTTTTAACCAACCAGTCCATCTGTCAAGGTTCACTGGGATTCCCAGGCATCAGGGAGATGCTGTGCTGGATCCCAGCCTAAATCCCTAAAAATTCACCCAGGGGTGAAGAAGCACTGCCATTTCCAACTGGAGCCTATGGTTTTCCTGGCTGATTCAAGCAGCACAGGCCTGCACTGTGCTGCAATCCCTTCTGAAGTTTACTGCCATAGTTTTAAACCCCTACTTTGTGCACAAGGTGGCTTAGACAAATTATATGCTAATTGTTATAGGGGTAGCAGGAGGCACGGCACACAAGCAACCCAAAAGCAAAATGCATGACAAAGGCAGGAGGCTGTTTCCCCGATAAAGGAACTATTTTGCCATTTTTTATCTCTTACACTTGCATTGAAAAAAATCCACTTACCAGTTGGTTTGAGAAAATCCATTGGATATCTGGAGTAGGGTGGAGGGGGAGACTCTGGAATTAGAGAAGAAAAAAGAAAAAAAAGGCAGAACCATGAGAAAAAAAAAAAAAAAAAAAGAAAAAAGATAGGAACTTATGATAACAGTGGCATTCTTTTAGCAAAACTGTTTGTCTTAGCTCTGGGGGTTGGAGGCAGGGCAGCGAGGCGGTGATTGCCTTGATATTTAGCTGTCAGATAAACAAAAGGGGCCGTCTGGCGCCAGTCTCCCTGCTATCTGCCGCTCGGGCTGTCTGATCGGGGCCTCCTTGGCTCGGCGGAGCCGCGGCAGCGCCGGGGCCGCCCGGCCCTTAATCCCCCGGCACCGCGCGGGGACGGCGGGGAGGCAGCGCCGGGGCCCCCGGGAGGGGAGGGGGTCCCGGAGGTGGGGGCGTCGCCCCCTCCCCTAAATACAAAATGAAATACATAAACCACGGCAACTGAAAGTTTTTGTGCGTGTTCTGGGTTTTGTTGTTTGTTGTAGGTTGATTTTGGTTTGTTGTTTGTTGGGGTTTTTTTCCCCTCCAGAAGGGGGAAAAAAAAGTTTTGTGGGCCGGGAGGTGAGTGGGGCTGGATCCACGTATTTCTGTATCCCCTCCATACATGCATCCCCTGCATGCCCTCCAACCCCTACATACCTCCAGCCCCTGGATCATCCCTAGCCCCTGCACTCCTGCATCCTCTCCATCCCCTGCACCCCAGCCTCTCCATTCCCCACATCCCTGTATCCCGTCCATCCCCTGCACACCTCCAGCCCCCGCGCCGCTGCACCTCCTCCATCTCTTGCATGCCCTCCAGCCCCTGCACCCCTGAATCCCCTACAACCTCGTGTGACCTCCATTCCCCTATATTCCTACATCCCTCCAAGCCCTACACACCTCTAACCCCTTCAGCCCCCGCATCCGCCGCCATCCCCACCGCCGTACCTAGCTCGCAGAGCCGGCTGAGGTGGTGCGGGTTGCAGCAGACGAGCTCGGAGTGAGCCTTGCCGTAGGATTCACAGCAACATAGCCGCTTCACTTCGGAGCAGTGGCGGAGGTCGGGCCAGCGGAACACCTTGCAGAGCAGCACGGGCAGCGGGTACCAGTGCTGTCCCAGCCGAGAGTCGGCCTTGGCGGGCAGCAGCAGGCAGGGGGTCCGCGCCCCGCCGCGGGACTCCACGGCGTGCAGCAGCCCCTCCAGCTGCCGCTCCTTCAGCCGCTTCAGCACGGCGTGGGTCAGCGCCTTCAGTTCCGCCTCCGCGCCCGCCGCCGCCCGCCCGCCGCGGCCCGCCTTGCCCGGGCAGCACCCGCGCCCCCCGCCCAAGTGCGCCCGGGGCTCGGCCACCGCCGCCGCCGCGCCGGGCTCGCCCGCCGCCGCCTCCTCCTCCTCCTCGCCGCCGGGCGCGCGGCTCCGCCAGAGCCGCCGGACGAGCACCGAGCGTTTGGTCCTGAACATGCGGGACGAGAGGAGGGGCCCCCGGCTACAAAACGGGCATGTCGTCCGCCGAGCATGAAGGGGCCGGCAGGCGGGATGCGGCGGCGGCGGGGGGCAGCGGCGGGGGGCAGCGGAGCCGAGGCGGGCTGTGGCATGCGCCAGTCTCCGCGCTGGGGCCGCGGGTCCCGCCGCCTCCCGCGGGGGGATGCGCCGGCCGCGCCTCCGCCCGCTGCGAGAAAATTTACAGAAAAATCGAATTGAAAAGAAAAAAAAA